AGTCTCCTTTCTCTTTATGCAATGCCCTTTACACTAGGAAAGTTAAACTTTTGGGGGACTTTGAGGAGCGCTCAAGTCCCTTTTCGTAGAAAAGTGCATGTACATTGCAAATTTTGTGTACAGCTTTGGGGATTTCAAACTCCCGGAAATAGATACATGAATCTAGGTAGAGAACCCTTTCTTATACCTTTGGTTCATGTTTGCATGCAAAAGGAACAGTGCCCCAGTATTTATACTTAGGCAAACTCATGGAGAGAGACACTCGAAGCAGAAGCCCTAGATCTGTCCTCTCTTCCTCCCTCCCTTCCTTTTTGTATATTAAATCTTAATTAGATAATAGGAATAAATTTATGTAAGTCTAAGACTCTTCCTACTACTATTCCCACTACTAGTCCCTCCAGTCATTGCTTTCTAGTCTTTTACATACATATGTATCACCCATAAAAATGAATAGTTTTATGCTTTTTTAATAAATGATACAGTATGCACTGTTTTGCAACTTTTAAAAAATTCAGCGTTGTGTCTCATTCTTCTTATTTGCTATATCAGATCCCATTTGTTAATTCCATAGTTTATTTGGCCACCCACTATTGATGGATGTTTAGGATGTTTCCCGTTTTTCAGTGTTACAAGCAGTGCTGCAATAAATATTGTTTTTCATACCTCCCTGGCCCATGTTAGTGCTTCTCAAAGGGAGAAAGTGAAAAATGGACTTGCTAGGCATGTGATTTCAAAGTAGCTTTATTATATTATATCAGCAACATATGAAAATCCCCAGCCTGCCCAAAGTCTCTCATCACTCGGTATTATCAAATCAAAACTTTTTTTTCAATGTGATGGATAAGAAATGATATGATAATTACAAGTAAGTTAGAGCATATTTTACATCTTTTCATATGTGTATTAGCCGTTTCACATTTCTGTTATGTTCATATCCTTTGTTGGGATTTTTTTAATGCTTATTTGGCTTTTTCTTATTTATAGGAATCCCTTATGTATTTTCGCATTATTCTTGACACCAACCTCTTCTCTTGTATATGTTATAAAGCTTTTTCATTTAGATCTTTTTGATCCTGGTTTTGCTACTGACTCGCTCTGTGATTTGGTGGACATCATTTGACTTCCACAGAACCATTTCTCTCTATTGTACAGTGTGAATACACTACCTTTTAGTTATTGTGTTACTGTGTAATGCTAGTTAAACAGTGTATGGGCTCTGTGATTTGGGGGTTTCTCATTTGATTTTCACCAGCCATTTTTCCCAGCTGTAAAGTGAGAATTTTTGGTTTATTGTGAAATGCCAATGAAAGAGCATATGAAAGTGCTTTGGAGAATAAAGAATACCTTCAAATGTAGGCATTTTGTCCTTTCTTTGGCTTTATTATGATTCATCCCTAGGAGTTGGCTTTTATGAAGCCTATCCCATCTCCATAGATGGATCAAACTTTCAGGGGTGTTACACAACATAGCGCTTGTCTTGTTTTAATCTACACTCTTCTTGGGGGAGGAAAGAGGTACATAAACAAGATAGGCTCACATTGAGCTCCTGTGTTCTTGGAATGCATTGTGTGGAATGGAGGTGAGGAAGAGCGGTATCAGGCGAATCTCACTTCTTCACTCACAGTGCTTCCCCCAGGGACTGACATAGCATAATCTGGCCATTTATGGAACCAAATGTCTACAAGGTTAGAATTCGTCTAACTTCTCAATTAGAACACAGGTTTCAGAGGCAACTCTTCCATTCCACCACAGTAGGGAACTCTGAAAGTATTGTCTATTCCAGTTACCTTTTGACTGATGACTGCCCTCTGCAAACAATTAACTAAAACATGATACTACCCGACGGTTTGGGGCCACTCATACTCAAATACCACCTTAGACCTAGACAGCTCTGTGCCCCTGCCCTATGCTTTTGAGGGTCTTTCCTTTGGCCATGCCTGCCCCCTTCTAGACCGCTCTCCAAGTATCCAGGACCCAAGAATTACCTGATGAAATGTCCTGACCCTGCGTCCAGGGCCTGCAGAGGCTCTTTCTGAGCCCATCCTCCCAGAGGTGGACCAAACCATTAGACCCCGCGCCTGATATGCGCATTTGTAGGACCCAGGTGTGGCCAAGGCGACTGTTTGAGAGAGATGTGCCCAGAGCTTGGGTGTATTCGCTTGAACATCTGTGTACAATGCTCGTTGAGGTGCAGGAAGGGACTGGGGTGTGCGAAAAGAAAGGAAGTGGCTTTGGGGCCAGGGTTGTCCATTTGTACTCTTACCCAGCCCTGCCACTGTCAGAGGAGGGTCTGCCCAGAGGACCCTCTCCCTTCTGACCAACTGCTTATTTGGTGGGGAGGGGTTAAAAAAGCTATTGGGGAAGGTTTTTTCACCACCCGTTGAGAGGCTGGCTCAATATAGACCCCAATTATCTCTGAGAATATTCTCAAAGAGAGAGGGGTGGGGAGGTAGTATGGGTGAATTTCCTGAAGGAAGAGTCTCTGTGCCTCTCCTCTGTCACTCCCCTGGGTAGGCAGTGCTGCGGATGCTTTGTAAAAAGGAGGAAGGATTCTGCTGACACACTGTTTTTATGAAAGAAGGCTAAGGGTTCCCTTATCTCTCCACACAAGGCACATCTGCCTGCAAACAGGCTGTCTGCTTCTTAGGGATTCCTTCGTCATCCTGTTTCTCTTCTGAATGTTTTAAGACACAGTTTGGTGCATTCCTTTCCGTTCTCTAGAGCCAGGGGGAAAGTCATAATATGTCTAAGGCTCTTGCTGAAGAGCTTAAAATGGGTGCTGGCGGCTGGGATGTGGGGGAAAAGAGTTTTCCAGGGACAAGTGACCTGCTTATTCCAGCCAATGAGAAGCAGGTTAGAGGAATGATATCACCAGACAGTCTTTATTGTCTGATCATCTCATAAAAGCAGGATTGTGTCTGGCAATTTAACCCTTTTTTAGGTACTTTGGGTCTCATGCACTCCCCTGGTGTGTGACCTCCAGATTCCTTTTCCCACCTGTCTGCTGTGAGACCAGAGATGAAAGATTTAGATTGGTGAAGAAATTTGGAAAGTTTTCATCATTTTAAAAGTAAAACTAAAAATACAAATTATTAAAATTTAGAACCACAGTTAGGATGGGAATGTCAGCTAAGCTGTGTTTGGAGAGCACATCTAAAGCAGATATCGGTCTTAGGTTACATCAGACTTTTACTGTGTAGACTTGGGAGAGAAAGGAGGTTAGAGGGGAAAAAAGGATTTAGGCTTTAGTCTGTTTTAATCTATATGATGGAGTCTTACTAAGTAGGTCCTGTTTTGGAGGAATTGGAATTTTCCCCCCAAATTTGGAAACTATCACTGATTCTGAGGCCTATTTTGAAGAACAGACATTTGTAGTACTTGTTTATATTGTACTTATTTATTGTCCCATACCCATAAAAATGACAAGTCATTTTACTTACTCACACCTCCTTTCCAACACTGGTAAAATGAGAGTGATTATCCTATCCTATCCCCAAGGAGTTGAGATAAGAAAATAAACTAATTCATGTGACTTTACATTGTGCTACACACATGTATTATTATAAGGGCATTCATATCTTAAGATTGCATATTCATTCATTCGTTTGTTCAGCAGACTTTTTTGAACACCTTCTTGATGCTGAACACAGATAGAGATGAAAAGTGTAGTTCTTACCTTTAAGGAATTTAAAATATTGTGAGGGAGACAGACAGTAATAATAAATATGTCTCATACATCTATTGTCTTTAGCATGTGCCAGGCCCTGTTCCAAGCACCTTGATGTATATGAGCTCATGTTGTCTTTCTACAACCCTATGAAATGGGTACTGTTATTAGCTTCATATTATAAGGAAATTGAGGCGCTGAGAGGCTAAGCGACTTGCCTAAGGTCACACAGATCTAGTGGTAGATTTGGGACTTGAATCCAGGCAGTGTGGCTTTAGTCTATGCTTTAAATCTGTGCTGACCGGTACAGTAGTCACTAGCCATAGATGGCTTTGGTGCCCTTGAAATGTGGTAAGTCCAAATTGAATTGGGCTGTAAGTGTGAAATACACACTAGATTTCAAAGACCTAGTGTGAAAAAAATGTATAAAATACCTCATGTTGAAATTACATGTTGCAATGATAATATTTTGGATATACTGAGTTAAGTAAAATGTATTCAAATTAATTTCCTTTTATTTTTGTGACTACTCAAAAACTTAAAATTATATATGTGGCTTGCATTTGTGGCTTACATTATATTTCCGTTGGATTTTGCTAGTCTAAATCATTATAATGCAGTAATAACAACAACAATATAATAGGTGACATTTATTGAGCACTTACTGTGTGCCACATGGTGTGCTAACGCCTTTACAAACAGCATTTCAATTAAGCTTCAAAATAACCCTTTTTATAATCCCCATTTTATTGAAGAGGGAGAAGTTTTCAAGAAAGTCAGTATTTGCCTGAGGTTAGTCAACTCGTTAATGCCGACCCCAAATTTGAAACCTTATATTTCTGACTCAAAAACCTGTATTCAACTGAATACATTGAAATACCATTTCCAATTAGGGTTAAATCTTGGGGAATTTTGTTTTTATTTTTGTGAGAATATTTAATATTGCATATTTCTGTATTTGTGATGTAGAAGTTTAAAATAAAAATCACTTGGTCATAAAATAGACACCCCAGATAGGAATCTCTTTTGCAAAGCCTCAGCCCTCTGTGAATACTGGTGCAGTTGAGCCCTGAGATGAAGCAGTGAGTCAGCCTGTACAAATTGCATTTAATTTTCGTTCCAATTGTTCTCTCAGGTCACTGGGCAATTTATGTCCTGACCCTCTTTGTCCATAGAGAAGAGGAAGAGGGGCAACACATCTTTTCTTAGTCGTTTAGTCCTCTTGGCTGATAAGAAGAAATTGCCTTCCGTTTCATTGTCCCATGAAATGCTGTTTGTGTTCGAGAGAGCAACAAAATGCTGTCTAATGACCCCTGACTTTTCTTTCTTCTAGAGCAAAGATTCAGGCGGACTGAAGGCGGCTATGATAGAGTTGGTGGAAAGGTTAAAGTTCAAGAGCTCAGACCCTAAAGTAAGTGTTGTTTTGGAATTAATTGGATATTGGTACCCCAAGTATTTCATTCTCCTTGAGCTAAATTCGAGGGATGTTAATGACGATCTATCTGAACATTGCATCAGATCTAATTAAGCCTACCCATCAAAAGCCGTGTTCTGACATGCCTGAAGATAAGTCATCTATTTTTCCCCTTCTCTGTTTTATGATTTACAACACATAATCGTTCATTGTTTTCTCTGAACTGCAGACAAGTGCATTTTTAATCTTCTTTTACCGGGCCTCCGAGACTACTGGCCTCTGTGTCCATTAAATCCAACCAAAGGCATCAGAGATACCATCAGCTTAATGCTGGGGACTGGAACAAGCTCAGGCCTATCCAGTTGGTGTTCAGTACTAGCGTCTTGTAACTCCCCCACTTAACGGGAGCCAGCTGCCACTGTGAATACTTTTGTCCTCATGACCTGGAGTCTGGTCTGGGAAATGGTTTAAGCTTCCCAGCTTTCTTTGCAAGATGTTGGGGGCTGTAGGATTGATATTCTGGGAGACGCCATACCAGGGTTGTGGGTGGACTGGGAACTGAACGTGCCGAAGGGATTATGACTAATGTAGCCTCCCTTCTCCTACTCAGACGTTTGCTGTGGCACTACCCGGTACTGGTGCCAGCTGGCTTTGCCTGAGAGTCAAAGCCTTTCACAATTAAATAGGGAAGGGAGCGTGATTTTATTTGGCTTTTTATACTGTCTCTTTTTTAATTAAAAAATTTTATAAGGGGAATAAGACTAGCATTTCTTGAGCACCTAATAAGAGCCGGGCACTGTGCTAGGAGCCTTACATACCTTTTAAAAAAATTGTGGTAAAATATACATAATGAAATCTCCCATTCGAACCACTTTTAATGGTGCAGCTCGGCAGCCTTGAGCACATTCACGTTGCTGTGCAGCATCACCACCATCCATCTCCAGAGCCCTTTCCATCATCCCAAACTGACGCTGCACCCATTAAGCACTAACTTGTTATTCTCCCTCTCCTCTTACACACTTGTGATCATTGCAATAACCTTGTAAATTAGCTTTTATTTCCCATTTTATTGATAAGAACACATTGGGGTAACTTTTGTCGATTTTCTTAACTCAAAAGTAGAAAGACCCCCCTCCCCCAAAACCACTTATGTGAAAATAGTTTTCCTTTAGTAAAGATGAACCAATTAATTATTAAAGATAACAGAAAGCTTTTTTTACCGAGTTTCTCTGGTTTCTGGGACAACAGCTATCCTGAAGGAGACAACGGTATTTCCTCTTTCTGCCACACCCACATGCTTATAGACAGTGAAGAGCAAGAGAATGTGTACAGATTACACTGAGTGGCTTCTGTGCATGATGATAATACAGGTAAAGTGCTTTGGGAACCTTTATGAATGCATATAGTGCCTCTGATGGGAAACTTGCCAGAGCTGAAAGAATTGAGTAGTCCCCATGAGAGCAACCCGTGGAAACCTCAGGATTTTCCTACAATGCATCATAAGCTAAAGGATATTTGCTAGGACCTCACTTGATCTTGGATATGTTTATACACACTCACCTTTCTTTCATCTTCTCTTTGTCTCTCCCTGGATAATTTCCCACCAATCTATTTCATTTTCAAGCCGCTTTCTAGCCTAACATATGTGTACGCCATTTTTACCTGGAGTCAGCTTGAAGAAGGACCATCATAATTGCAGGATGACTGTTAGATCACAAATAGGGGATGAAAAATGGGACACTTAAATACATAATTTCTGCAACAAAGAAAAATTTCCCAGAAACAAATTGGTGTCTTCCAAAAGAACTCATTAAGTTTTTAGTCTGTTCTGTTTTTCCGCCAAACCCCACCATCCTTTTTCTAAGTTGGCTTATTTAAGAAGAGCAGAATCTCCTAGGCTTTATGACCTGTCGTTTTCTGGCACAGCAGCTTTACATAGAGGCGCTGACTGAGTCATGGAGCCCCGAACACTCTCTCTGCCTCACTTCCTCTAGAATTCCCTAAAGCCTCACAAAGCTGGATTAGTCCAGACACTGAGGTCTACTGGGGACTGAGTTAATTTTTACCTCTCAGTTTTGCCAGAGAGGAGTGGAAGATGCCTAGATTAACCTTTTATTAAATTATAAAATAATATATGCTTATAGATTAAAAATACAGCTATCCGTAAAGGAAAAATAAAAAAATACAGCTATAAATAAAAATAATAAATAATAAAAAAATACAGCTATCCATAAAGGAAAAGGAAAATGGATTTCCCTTAAATTAACCACTATTAACAGCTTAGTGTGTAACCTCCTAGACATTTTTTCACGTGGAAATACGCTTCGAAGATATATTACAAAAATTATACCATAGCTGTGGTTTTATCACACAGAATATCTTAAACATTCTTCTATGTCAGTAGTATAGACTTCTTAATGAGATGCCTCATTTTGTCCAAAATATTTGTCAGAAATCCTCTTTTCTTCAGAGCAATGGTTCTTTAAACTTCAGTGTTCATGAAAATCGCCTGGAGGACTTACTAAAATACAGAGTGCTGGACCCACCCCCAGAGTTTCTGATTCAGTGTGTCTGGGGGAACTAGAAACTGTGCTGGACCTTGGTTATTTTCCTGCCATCTTGTGTTTTGGTTTTCTTCGTTCTTTCAGCAAATAGCCAGAAGAGCCCTTGTAAGTCCAAATGATTTCAACCTTGAAAAAAATGAAATACATAAAATTCCAGGCTTAGAAAACATAAATTGAGCTGAGGGAGCAAAGGAGTAAGAGAGGGGAAGGGAGGTAAACTGAGTAATCAGCTTGGGCTCCCTGAGAGGACAGGGTTCCTTTAAACAGGTATGGCCAGCAGAGAAGTAGCAAAGCCAAAAAAAGGGAAAGGAGTCCTGGTCAGGAATTAGGAGGATGATGAAGGCCATCGCCATGGTCCAGGAGTGGGCTGAGTTCTCAAACCAGAGGAACAGCAGGAGACATCAAATCCCAGCTACTAGGGGTGAGCCCAAGGATGGGTATGAGAGCCAGAGATGGTTGCTAAATAAGGCACAGGTCCAGATGAAGTGGTGTGCGTGCATGTTGCTGTGGTGAGCCCTGTTTTAAAGGGGGCAGACCTCCAGGGATCCAGAACTTGTATACAGTGGAAAGAAATTATTTTTAATAACAGTCTTTATTTTGTTTAATTGGAAGTGGTCTATTAAATAATCCTAATGCGTTTGACTTGATCCAGTTTGCAAACATTTTTTTGCAGCTAAACTTTTCAGAAACATCTGTTGCACAAAGCAGCATTTTAGTCGTTAGATTTCTTATATTTATGCTAGACTTTGGGGAAATTAAAAGATGTAGTTAATCAGGGGTATGTATGTGTGTTTATGTCCGGACTAGATTTTTAGGAAATTTAAAGCATCTGAGTTCTCTACAGCTTTCCTTTGTAGTGACTATGCAATTACCTTTCATAGTTTACCCAGAGGAAACTGAAACTTAGAAAACACATTGATTTCCTTCCTTTCCTTCCCCATGCTCAGTCTCCCAGAAAGTATTGAACTAAAGTATAAGGTGCTAAGCTCAATCTAACTAACCTCTCATTATTCAGTTAATAATAGCTATTTTCTCTATGATATATTGATTGCTTTTCTTTCCATGCAAGGTGCACCATTCACTGTTTCCTATAGCTGGTGTGTGCTTGAAACAAACAGTTTAAACCATGTTTGTGTATCTCAAATTCATATTAATTTAATAAGTTATTATCAAAAAAGCATCTTAAACTCGAGCCAAGTGGTTCACATTATTCTCTGTGACTGGAGTGGGATTAAACATAGGATCTAATCATACTAAGATTGTCTAAAATATAATCAGGTTCTTTTCCTTATTATTTTTCGATCTCTACAGGTATTCTTACTGAAGTATGAAACCAAAGAATTGTCTAGCAACATGAAATTAGTTAAATAGAACTGAGGATTGTTTTCTTATTTTATTTTTATTTAGCATTTACAGAGCATTTTATAATTGCAAGAGGACCTTACAGACCTTTCTAATAGCTGATATCACTGACATGGAACATAGCCCAGTCCTCCACTCCAGTGCTAATCAGACTATTGTTAAAATGATAGGTTTTGCATGTACAAATAGTAATGGATATAAGCAGAACCTAACTTGAATTCTTGGTGTTAGTGTCCTGTTATTCACCTGGGTCAAGTCAGGCCTTGTGCTGGTCCTTGTCCTGCCGCAAGATAGAAGTATTCACTGGGGCAGTATTTATTCATCCATCTAAAGGAGAGAATTGAGATGCCTCAGTTATGAAGTTGGTTCATTCAAAAGTGTTTCTTTGGTTGGAAGGTTATTAGAATTACTGACCTATTTCTTTTCATTTATTTATTTATTTATTTGGCTGCATCAGGTCTTCATTGTGGCATGAGGGAATCTTTCGTTGTGGCACTCGTTGCGGCACTCGTTGCGGCACTTGTTGCGGCCTGTGGGCTTCTCTCTAATTGTGGTGTGCAGCTTTTCTCTTCTCTAGTTGTGGCGCAGGCTTCAGAGTACGTGGGCTCTGTAGTTTGTGGCAGGTGGGTTCTCTAGTTGAGGCGTGTGAGCTCAGTAGTTGTGGCGCATGGGCTTAGTTGCCCCGTGGCATATGGGATCTTAGTTCCCTAACCAGGGATCAAACCCATGTCCCCTGCATTGGAAGGAGGATTCTTTACCACTGGATCACCAGGGAAGTCCCTGTTGACCTATTTCTTCACTTTACATAAAAAAGAAGTAATCTTGGAAGACATGAATTGTGTTTATCTCTGTATCCTCAAGCCCTACTAGCGTGGTACCTAGTAATAGATATGCATTATCTATTACAGCAACCATATGAAAAGAAATATCATTTGCCCTGTTTTATGGATACGCAATCCAAGACTTACAGGGATTAAACAGCTTGCTAGTAAGTGGTGGGAACAGGACTGGACTTCAGATTCATCTTCCTTCATGTTATTCACCCCCACACTGTTGTTGAACCCATGGGTA